TGATAATCTTGAATGGGCAGGTTTACACTTAATTCAGTGCATCTGAAAATACCGGGTTCTGAGAACACTGCAAAGAATTGTAGGAGTACCGAAGAGGCGAAAACACTCCTTAGTGTCATCATTTATTTTGGCCACAAGTTGTGCTGACTTCGTTGTTATTTGGTAGTCCTGGTGGTGTAGGGGTTACATGTTGGGCTGCAATCTGCATGGTTGGCAGTTTGAAACCACCAGCAGCTCTGTGGGAGAAAGGCTGAGTTTTCATAACCAATTGCAGTCTCAGAAACACACAGGAATTCTCTGTGAGTCAGCATTGACTCAACTGCAGTGAGTTTGTTTTTTGTTTTTTCCCCCATACCATTGTTTGATATTTGGAAATAGATTGCTAAGCATTTCTTCTTGGTTTACTTTTGAGTACAAGCTCTACAGAAAACTTTTAAGCATCATAGCAAGTTACTGACAGGTGGAGGCTGCAGGTGAGTTGATTGGGTTGGGAATTGAACTTCGGTCTCCTTCAGGGAAAGTTGAATTCTACCATTGGAGCACCACCAATTGAAAATTATAGTAATAAGTTAACATATATGGTTGTATCATACCATTCGCTATTTGATATTTAAAATTATTCTGGATTTTTTTTAAATAAAGATATTGTATATTATTTTTTAAAACTCATTATTAGCCCATGATGTTTTCTGCTGCAATATATTTAAGTTGGCTTTGGTAATATTTATTGGATAATTGGTAAACATACTTTAGTTAAGTAAAGGCAGTGCTTTTTTAACAAACGTATCTAGAGGAGACACATTACTTAATCCATTTGGGTTTCCTTGTTCCTTCTAGATCTTTTGTTAATATCCAAGAAATGTCCTCTTCTGCTTTCCCAGATACCCAATTTAACCCTTATTTTACAGCCCTAATGATTGGGCTAATAGCCATATATGTCAACTATGATAAAATGTATATTGCAAATAAAACCAAAATGAACTAAGTTTAATTTTAACTCAAATAAATCATACTCAATGAAATGAGATATGAGTGATGTGTGTGTGTGTGTGTGTTTCGCTTTCAGAACAAGAAAGTGAAAATAAACTTGTTAGAGAAAAGTAAGTTACTACGAAGAAGTATTATTTCAGCGGTTGGGAGCTGTAAGAACCTCTTCAACATCTCAGTTCTGAAAATTTCCTTATGTGAGAATATTTTTCAGAAAAAATGAGGGCAGAGTATGAACAACCAATAAGGAGTGAGTGGGAGAGTCCATAGATGTCGCAAGCCAGTAGGTTTTTACCAGAATTTGTAGCTGACAGAGACGTGGATGTCTTGAAATTACAGTGGATATTATGTGGGATGTCATTTGGGGGGAAGCTGGGAGCCACCGAGGGGCATGTATATCAAATGTACACACATCTAAGCTGGTAAACACACTCCCTGAAAACCCGCTGCACACCGTAATTATAGACATAATTACTGGTTGACTTACATTTTTATTACCTCAGTGGATTATTGTACACACATGGTTCTAAAAATCATTTTGGTTATGCCCTGGTTCATATATATTACACAGATTATATATACATACTGTTTCATTTTTTATATTGAAATTCTTTACCTCTTTTCCCTTTCTACTTTATCCTCTTCCATCCTCCGTTTACCTGCTTCCCTGGGTACCAGTTTATAAGATAGTAATAGTGCGTGCAGCTGCTGCTGCAAGGAGGGCTGGAGGTGTTAGGCAGGTGGTGGCTGAACTCTAAGCCATCAAGGACAAAAGTTTTAGAGGAGGGCAGCTAGGTATCAGGTTTCTTGTTTGAGAGGAAACATATCCTGAGTGAGATTAAGCACCATGATTCCAGTTTATTGTCTCAAGGAAAGTCACCCATACTCGAATGTCTCCTTCTCTGTCTCCTTGCTGGACCAGCAGTCAAAGAGCGGTGAGCGCTCTTTTTGGTCTTATTTTTCCATGAGCCCCCACAGCAATAGTAACAATAGCAGCTGTAGTAGCTGCAGCCAGAGATAGGCAGGGCTGTTGCTTGCAATTTTGCAGATTGCCTCCCCCTCACACCACACCACCACACACACACACACACACACACACACACACACACACACATCAACCCATATTAATCAAGGATTAAGAAAGATGACAGATGACTGATGTCATGGACAACAGGTATTTAATCTCTGACAAATTCAGTATCCTTCCAATGCTTCCTGTTACTGAGAATAACAAAATCATTTGTGAGACCTAGCTCGAGTGAGAAACTGGAGGTGGCCGCGGTGGCGAGGTGCGGGGTGGGGGGTGGGGGGCGGTGAAGGAGGAGGAGTAAGAGGGGGAAAGGGGGTTGCCAAGGATGACTTTCAGTCTCCGGAAACCCCCTTGTTCCAGCCTCCGTGGTGTTTGAGTTGCAAACGATGAAGGAGTGGAGGGCTGCGGGCAGCTTGTGCTGTTGAACTGGAAGTAGATTTCCATCTTTCAGACACTATTTAGCATGGGCCGTGTGTTCTGGAAGGGGGTGGAAGTAGGGAGGAGGAGATTCTGTGAGCAGAGTTCTTGAAGCTGCACTCCTCAGGGGAAGCCGAGCTGTGAGCCAGCTCCCCTGATCAGAAAGCGTGTGAATTGGAAGGGATCCTGAGCTGGCTGCTCCCAGTGCCTCTCCGGAAAAAGCAGTCGCTCTCGCTTCTGAGATGTGCCCAGCCTTCGCCTGCATCACACTGCAGTAAGTTAAACTCCACACGGGTGGCAATTTGAGTGGCTTCTGGTGTGTCGGGTGGGGGGAGGGAAGCTGAGAAGGAATGGCGAGGAGGAAAGTTAGGAAAGCCCAGCTCTCCGGAGTGAATCTGTGTATTATCCTTGGAATGTGAATGGGTTATCTTCCTGACCCGTGCCCTAGTTAGGATCCGGTCGGTGACTCTCTGGTCTGCATGGATACCTCTGGTTAGTTAGGCATGCAGAAAGCGCCTTGCCCATCGTGATTTCGTGAAGCAAACTGTCAAATGTGTTCTAGATGTCATTCGAAGCGTGCCAGCCTGAAAGTTACCGGTGAAATGGCAGCTTGTTTTCTTGTTTTGTTTTGTTTTTTTAACCCCAAAAGAAAATTCAGAGGCTGACTTAGATTTTAAAATGTTCCCAGCGTTACAAGTTTCATTTCAGAATTTATTCTTAATTTGTAAAAGTACCAAGTAAAGGAATAAACAAAATCAACAAAGCGATTCTTTGATTTACCATAAGATCACGGTAAAGTAAAATGTGAAGCTGTTCCCTAGGTCCCTGCTAGACAGCAGCCTAGGCAACACTGAGGATATGATCAACAATGAAAGACTCTTCAGTGGGTGGGAAGGGCTGGGTCTCTCAATTCTTAACGACAGCAATAAGCTCCACTTGATCAATAGTCTCTTCTTTGGGATTTCAAAGTAGTAATTTTTACATTGAGGACTTTATACTTAGAAACCAAACAGCATTGTGTGTACTCTCGGAAAAGCAAAGGCTTAAAAACTTAAAACACACACACACACACACACACAACTACTGCAACTGGTTGCTCAAATGACAGAAAACCAAGCTCTTCCACCAAGAGGTAAGAAGAGGACGGAAGAGCCAGTCCACTGTAAGGCATGAGTCCATGGGAATCCCGACAGAATAATGGAAACCAGAATGAACCTAACAATGTTAAGGTCTCTAACAAGATTCTTTTTCATACTGACCATATCTTTTTAGCAAAAAACAAACGCACATACACAAATAAATACATGAAATCCTTCAAACAGGCAGAATATAGGTTACAAGAAAATGTTAGATTTATTTGCATGATCACTCCAAAGATTGCCGTATGACTATATTTTCATCAAAGAAAGAATAATGAGTATGGAAAGCTGATGTGTTCTATGAAGCTTCACTCAATTCACAACGAAAAGGAAAAATAGGTTAGTAAAAGCAGAATTCAGAAATCTAAGCTGGACACTCAAAAACTACTATTAATGCTAAAGGATAAGGGGCTATCAAAATGTAAGACATTGAATAGTTCACCCAATCACAATAAAAAAATTTTTTAAAAGGTGTGAAATAAGTATCATAAATGCAAATGTATTCTAAAATATTTCATTATTAAAATAGAGTAAATACCACTTTTCTATTATTTAAATTTTAAATCGTACTATTATTTTTTTAATCCACTTAAACTTTACACTACAAATAAAATAAACCCAGAATATAATTTGACCATCGCGGGGCTCTCTAGGCAGAAAGGCTGAGGATTTAAGTTGTTAAAGGCAACCCATTATGCACATACATACTTTCTTTGTGTTTAATTTCTACATGTGACTCAGTAAGTAAATTGTACTCCAAGAGATATAAATTTGTAATAATGCATATGTAAGAGGGGTTCAAACATGTCAACAGCAATAGAGAAGAAAAAGAAACATCTATAATACTAAGGTTGGTGTGAGTTTGCAGGGAGTCCCTGGATACTCTCAAATAGACCATTGACTGAAGTTAGGATAGGTTGTTAAAGCAAAGGTGTTTAAGACCAAATTGTATTGATGCGGAGATGTCAAAACTTCCAGAAAGATATAAATGTCGGTAGATGGGTTGAGTGGTGGCAATACCTCTACTTCATATTTTGGTTGCCCGCTAGTAGACAAATCTCATGTCTATGAAGATGATGGTCAAAGCTACTTTTGAAATAAAGCAATTATAGTAAGGTTAAAGCCATTGGTAAAATGTTCTGAGATAATCGCTAAACTAAGCAGGTATCCTATGACTCATGCTTTGCCTTCCATAGGATTGAAAGAAGGAAGGGTTGTAGGAAGACAAACCTGACAAAGAGATGACTGATTGTCCTCCAGTTGCATTCTACTCCACCAGTAATGGCTATGATGAGAGATATAGGCTTGGAAGGAAATTTTAAGGATTTCCTTTCCTGGATGCTTCTCTTGGCTGCCCTCAGGAGATATTATGGTCCCAGGAGATATGGCAATGTTATATATGTGTGATAACCTAAATTCCACTGCCGTCTGTCTAGTAGATTGTGACTCAAGTGACCCTATTAGGATGGAATTATCTCAGGGAGTTTCCAAGGCTGCAGTCTTTCTGGAAGCAGCCTGCCACAGCTTTCTCCAACTGAGTGGCTAGTGGGTTGGAATTGCTAACTTTGGGTAGCTGAGCTCTTTAAATATTGAATTACTGGGGTTCCTTTATATGCATGATATGGTAGCGATATTTTTATACTAGCAGCAGTTACCTCTCTTTCAGCAGCATCCACCCAGAGCCAGCTATAGATACAATTTTGAAGAAGCCTCTTTCCCATTGTTTTCTCCACCTATGACATTTTCCTAATTATAAGGCAGCAACATACAATCTTACTTCAGTAAGGGGCTCATGTACTCATTCACCTGTCCATACTGGCTACAAAGTATGTGCAATTCATTGATAGTTCCCAGAACTCTTTTTGCATGGTTGATTTCCTTATTAAATGAAGTTTCTAGTCATTATCAGTGTATTAATGGTGGGCACTGGGTCAAGCCATTTGAATGTACTTTCTCATTTACGGCATAACACCTCTGGAAGGTAGGTGCTCTTCTCTCTAATTTCAAGAAATTCAATTCCAGAGGTAATAAGTAAATTTCATAAGCCACTATCTTAGTAAATGAAGAGTTAGAAATATCTCTTCGGTGTGGCAAACTCTAACTTGTAATCACTTTGCTTGATCAGAATGCTACTCTGTGGCAGGGAGATCTTATTGTTTTGTTATGGAATGGATAGGAGTGCTTGAGGAATTATGCCAGTCAAGACAGTATCTACCTGATGAAGCTCACTGGCCTCCGTTCCACGCTTGGCATACTCACAAATTACAAAGCAGTTTTCTGCTTTGGTTCCATCGAGAGAGGGAATGAGGCTGCATCACCTTTTCAGGAAGTAAGATGATAGAATTCAACTGGAAGAAAGGAGCTCAGCTCCAAAAGTCGAGAGAGAAAAGCAAATGAAAAGGATTGCATGGTGGGAGTTTGCCGTAAGAATTTGTCTGGATACCGTGTCCTGATGGACTCTACAAACAAACTGGATGGAGATTTTGCTAAGTCACTGATACAGCACAGACTCAGAGCATCTCTTTAATAGTAGCAAAATCTGCTTATAAAAGGTAGATTGGATTTGTCATCAGATGATCCCCGTTATATATATATTTAAAAACAAGAATATTACCATGATTCTAAAGAAAATAGATTGGAAAAGCCAGATGTTGAGTAAAGAGGTAAAATAGTTCATAGAAATATAGCTTGTTCTTGTATAATCCTTTTCTGAGAATTTACCAGGGGGCTAAAGGCCATCTTTAACTAGTAAAGATGAAAACTAAATGGTTCATTTAGGTAAATTTGAAGAGCTACGGAGGCTAACATGATTACTGTCACTTATCACAGGAGACAAAACTCTAACAGAATAAAATGAAAATGTTATGGGCGTAGAGCCAAGCAATATTTTGGGGTTGGTCTTTCTCAGCATGCTATATTTAAACAGCGGATTTTTTTAAAAGTATGATCTGAGTCAACTATTTGAAATGGAGAATTCGCCTTTTAACAAGAAATCTGTATTGGCATTGTAAAATTGAAACACGATGTTCTTAACTCAATTATTTTTATTGGAAACATGCCAATCTCTACAACTCCAGGGAACACGAAAGCTGTTACCTCCAAATCAGGGAATAAATAAATAAACTCCAGAGGCAAAGCTGGAGCTAGTGAGTGAGCATAGTGATGAATTTTGGTGAATCCACTCATGTTTTGGGCCCTGATTCATTCTGCTGTCATGTGTCATCCTGTAGATTGGCTTCAGGAATAGAGTTAGTTTAAGGGTTTAAGGATTAAATGTGGTACTCAAACACCAAATTGGTTCTCCTGCCCATTGGCTCTTTTCATCTTACAGCTTAAGATGTTGGCAGAAACTTTTACCGAGTGCCTACTACATGTCAGTTGCTATATGCAGAACATTGCTTAAAATGCGTATTGAATATTAGCAATACTCTTATCAAGCAGTGATGCTACTTTCATCTCCAATGGAGGCACAGGGGGTGAAGGGACTTATCCATACCTACAAACTAGTGGGAATAGAAGTGGGATGTAGACCCATACTATATAAGTCACTATTAATAAATGACTTCCAACTCTCAATAATGCATGCAGTTTCACATAGTCTTCATCTGTTCTGACACCTACCTTTCTGTAATATTTTTCCCAACATACAGATTTTTCTATATTCATTCCATTCTATATTGGTTTTCACCTATTTATCCATCTTTAGGGAGCTTTGCTAGTGCACTGGTTAAATTGCTCTGCTGCTAGCTGAAAGATCAGCAGTTTGAACCCACTAGCTTCTCTGTGAGAGAAAGGTTAATCAGTCTTGGAAAGCCTAGGGATGGTTCTAGCAGTCCTAGAGGGTTAGGATTAGTCAAAACTGATGGCTATGGAGTTAAGCATTTCCATCCCTCACTCTGATACTCTAGGATCTGTATGTACTCCATGGATCCTACTAGATGCTAACCACTGCCCTCTGGGGTTTGTTGAAATGTGTACTCACTCTTACTATTGAATATGCCGTAGATGCTTAGAGGGTTAGAATGATCTTTTTTTCTTTTTTCTTTTCTACATGGAGGCCAAAGACCAAGCCCTATCTGTCTTTGACACTTGAGTGCGTAGTATAACATTCATTGCAATATTAGAGGCCAATCAA